CATTCCCAGTGTTTTTGTTACCTAGCAAGCATGCAAATAATGAGCTTCTGTTCCTGGGCAGTCTCATTCCTTCCCTCTCCTAGTGCTTTTCCAATACTAGCTCCTGTGCATCCATTCAGCTATAGGAGGAGCATCTGCTGATAGATGCATTGTAAAGCATAGTGCATTAGCTGAGGTCTGGCCTCTGCTGTTGCACTGACTGTTCACAATGCACACGTAGTGTTCAGAGGCAAACTCACACTTGTCCTAATAACACTACATAGATGTGTTCAGACCAATCATCTCCAACTACTGCATGGGGGAGGGGGGAGGGGGGGGGGGGCAAGAAGAAGAAGGGAGGAAGGTTTGTCTAGAATGAGGCTCCCAAATGTATTCAAAACAAGTGGCTTTTTGCTTCTTTATTGTCAGCTTACAGAGGAAGCAGCCCTGGATGAAGCGAGTGGATTCAACATTCTTCCAGATCAGACCACTCAGCCAGGATTTTCACAACAGAACCTGCATAAAAAAACAAAGCAAGGGGTAAGTGAGCTGGTCAGGATCTCTTGGAATGATATACTCTGGGGTCCAAGGGGAGTACAGCTCTGCAAGAAAGGTTTGATGTATCCTATGGTCAGTTCTGGGAGGGGGAAAAAAACTACCCAGCTTCTCCAGAGCAGACAAGCTGAGAATTAGTGGCATCTGTAAGGCTGACAAATGCTGAGCACAGCTGAGAGTCATCTTTTACTTTTAAAAATAACTGCTCTCTGTAATCCTTTCAGGCTGGTTTTCTGCTGAATGAGAAAGTGTCCTCTAAATCTAGAAAAGTCAACTAGAATTGACCTAGCAAAGTGAATAGTACAGAATTTTTAACTTGCTAATAAAATTAGATCAAGAAAGCCATGGTCTAGTACCAGAGCCTGAACCAGGCTAAGTAGGAGGTCTGCCATTGCTTTCAGCATGTACAGAACAGAATCTCTAGATAGTAATCAGTTGGCTGAGTACTCTTAAAACGTCAGAGGAAGGTATTGGTAACAAGATACTCTACATTCAGACTGGATACCAGCCTATTATGGAAATGTATACACCTTCTCTAATGTATATTATGAGAATTAAGTGGACATGTGAGTCACAGACACCTGACAGGCCTGTCCCTGGTGCAATAAATTATTTAATTCTAAGCATTATTGAAAACAGCCATCTCGTAGGTATGCCACCTTGCACTTTTGGGATCACAGAATTGCAGGGGTTGGAAGGGACCTCAAGTGATTGAGTCCAACCCCCTTGCTAAAGCAAGTACAACTGGTCTAAAAGCCATCTTATTGCAGTTGTGTTAAGGTGCTGCCCGTGCCAGTGGTCAGGCAGTGCATTTCAGTGTGCATAAGGTTGTTCAGTTCTCCAAGGGCTCTGTAAAGCAAGAGACAATGGGGGCCTTATGAATAAAACTTAACACTGTAATTCCAGCGTGTCTTTTCAGCCCAACCTCAGGTACAAATGAGTGCTAGTGGTCTCCTGATAAACTATCTTCTTTGTCCCTCGGTTTTCTTTTTCTAACAGAGAAAATTGCAACCTCTTGTTTTTCCGACCTTCCCGTTGCTTTCCCTCCACATGTAACTCTTTTCAGGAAAGCTGATTGATTATTTGCCTTTGCAGCAGGAATAGTCTGTTATTTGGTGTTGCTGTGATGCCTGCTGGAAGATCTGGGCTTCAGCCTTTAGCACAGGACAGGCGGTGTTGATTTGTATTGCTGTAGGTACTGAATGAGGGTGCTTACCTTCTAAACAATACAGATTCATGGGCAAATGCTAGTAGTGAGTATCTTGGGTATTTATTTAACCACCTAAATACATGCATGGAGCCTGTCCTTTGGCTTTCTTGCAATGTCTAAACACCCTTGAACTATTTGACATTCAGCTGCCTTACAATGGAAGTCCTGTATAGTATCTGCTGTGGTTTGAATTGCATCTTTGTTTTCTTTGTGAGTTAGAGGCAGACTCCAACTGCCATAGCTCTTGCTGAGGCAGATGACAGTGATGAACATGAGTTACCCTGGTGCTGCATCTGCAATGAAGATGCCACTTTGCGATGCCATGGTTGCAGTGGGGACCTCTACTGCCAGCGCTGTTTTCGGTAAGTCTTCCAGCTCCTCTCACCTGAGGGACAGGCCATAGGTAAGCTTAGCTGCTTTTGTTCTTCCTCTTGGGCAGAAGAACAGAAGACAGGTGGGAAGATTTGAGGAACTTGGGTATGAATCGAATAGTAGTTTAATGGAAATACTTTTCATTACCAGTAATTACCCCAGGCTTCAGGGACTAAACTGGTCCTGGACAGAAGCATTCTGTCTGTACTGCTTTAGTGCGTGTTAGGGTGCTTTGTTTCAACTGTTATCTGGAACAATTGATGTGTGTGGGATAAGAGAGACCATTGTTCAGCACTTCTTATGGTTGGTGTTTTGGTTGTTTTTTGTTTTTTATGACAATGATGGATAATCTGGGCTGGATTCTCCCAGAAGGGAGATCGGATAGTATAATTTCCTGAGGCTTTTCTTAGCTTGAGACCGTGAAGCCTTAAATTGTATGAAAAATGTCAGGTATACAGTTCCTGCGCTGGAGATGTAAGCTACTGTCTTAACACTGACTGCTTCTTGGCAAGACTATGACAGCTGCCAGTACACTGTACTTCAGCCACAGGAGTTATTTTCCAGAATCAAATGGAGTAGGCTACAGTTTTAGCTGTTGTCACTGGAGTTGCTAACATGCCTACAAATCGCAGACATGGTGCTGAAAATGAGTCTCTGGTTATGAAGCTCACAGGGAGGGGAGGGGATAGAGGTCTGCTGTCATTTCCCCACTTCATCAGGCAAGGATGAACAGAGCTTTTCATAAAGTGCATCACAGGTTTCTGTTACAAACAAATCTCTTGAGCAACCAGTCCACATGTTTGCTGGTGTAGTCTTATCAATCAGCCCTTGGAATAGGTTTCTTTTAGAGACTGCTCTTGGGCACTGGCTTAGGGTGAGTTTCCCACCTGCATATTTACTCTTGACTGCAGTTTGTGTTTGCTTCTCAGGGAAGGCCATGATGAGTTCGACATGAAGGACCACCACACCTCTCGGTATCATCTTCCTTGCAAGTAGTGGTGATCACAGTCTTCGTTGGCAGAAAAGGAGATGGACTCCTCGCATCTGGCCCCCTCCCTCTTCTCCTGCTGTCCAAATGGATTTGCAGCCAAAACGGGTGATGTTTTGGACAGTAAAACGATGTGCTGTTAACTAAAAGGGGCTTAGAGGGCATGTGCCTTGGCCCTCAGAAACACAACCAGAGAAGTGCTGGGCTTGCCACCAGTGCTTGGGATAAATGAGGATTTGATGTGAGGTGGTGGCTCTGAGTCTATAAATATAGACAGTAAGGCATCGTGAATAACAGTGAAGATGTATGCTTAAGGCAGTGTTGGCTGGTTGTTAAGTAATGTGCTTTTGCTAACAGCTCACATGTTGGTTCACAAGTCAGCAGAGTACTTTGCACTAAGAAATTGTCTATGTCATGGTCACGTGTGTGATGAGAACTTTCAAAATGTAATAAAACTATTTACAGCAGACTGGTTGAAATCTCTTTTGGAAATGCCTCATAATAGCCCTTTATAAAGTGTCACCCTCCTGTAATGGTATCTCAGTTGTACTGCCAGGTGGATCAGGAAAATGAAATCATGAAAAAACACTTCTGTGGTGTTGCTGGGCTGATGCAAAGGTGTCATGCTCCAGTGATGAGCAGTGTCGCTTATATGTTTGAAATGAAAAATACTTCTTAAAGATAATTTGCTACAGATGCACTGTGTTCTGACCAGCAGTGTCTGCACATAAGTTGCATGTAGTCTATGGGAGCAGCATGTTAATCTGGAAGAGATGTGTGTTACTCTGAAAGTGAGAATTGAGTCTGTCTATTACTTGTTCCCCTGGTAGGATAAAAATGCTGGATGTGTGATGATTTCTTACCTGGCTATGAGAGAATCTCAGTTTACTGTGCTTGTATGCCACCCAGAGACAGTCCAGATGCATGCAACACGTGCCAGTGGCTATAACACCCAGAATCGTTTGAAATACATGATTAAACTTTTCTGAAATCAGCTCTAATATCCCATCAGGGTGAGCTCTTCCAGGAGTGTAGTGTGACTTTAGACAGCTGTCTAAGGTTGACAAATTCCAGGAGTGTCCAAACAGAAAAACCTTATGATTTGGTTTTGACAGAGAGCTGCCAATTGATCTTGCCTGTCTGGTTTGACACTGCCACTCCCAGCTGTCTGCTTTGCCCCTGTGCTGAAGGTCACTGCCTGTGTAGGTGAGCTGGCAAAACTGTTTGCATGCACTTCAGCCACCTCCAGTCAGCCAGCCAAAGCTCAGTAAATACCTTAAACTGCATCCAGAGGTGGATTTGTGCAAACTTGTTGGACTGGATCAGGAGTTTCAGTAGTAATCTGTATCAGACAACACAGTGTGGTAATATTTCTGGTTGACACAGTGAGAAATTGCTAGTATATCTGACAGTGCTGGCTAAACTCATAGTTAGGAAGGGATGGTGAAACCCAATCCACTGAAGCACAGTCTGTGAGAGGAAAGACTTCCTTCACAAGTGCCTTAACATTAGAACAGACAGGAGGGAAAACTACTGCATTGTTCTGATGCAAGAGCTCACAGTGAATCCTGTGTTACACAAGATCTAAGTAGATAGTTACTGACCTGAGGAGTTTGAAGTCTTCATTTTTAAGACTTTATTTTTCTGGCAGTTCTGGCTTCATGTCATTGTGGGAATGGTGCTTTCTTCGTTGTTATTTGACCAGGATAGTTGGTCTGACAGCAAGACAGCCCACTGAAAATTCTGTCTCAGGTTAAATCCTTTGTGTTTTGCATGTACAGAAGATGTAAACAGCCATCTTCTCTCTAAAACTGATCCACTCCTTTGGGTTTCAGCCTTCCCAAGGTTCTTTCCATACAGATAATAGGCAAATTAATTCTTGTTTTACAGGTGTGGTTGTTTTTTTTTCCTCCTTTTTATCTATGAGTTGATGATTTACTTGAAGCAGTTTAAATGTTTGATCCATCACAACACAAGTTTGAGCTCCTTGTGCAGTTAGGTAGCATGAGTCCAGTGAGACCTGCCCTGTGTTCATCAATAGTAAAGCAACAGCTAACAGCCTGAAGCAGCTTATTTAGTTTCCTGGATTGGCTTCTGTGGGTTCATCCCAAGGAATCCAGAAATGCAACCAGCCCAATACCTGAAATAGAACTTAGTCATAGAAGACTCTTCAGTCATTCACACATACTGACTTTTTCACTGCCCAGTCACTAACGGACATTTTTGTGGCTGCTGAGCTTTCTGCATGTAATTGGCCATTTTAGTGGCTGGCCAATCACTTTCTCCTTGTAAAGCCATCTCCACTGTAGCTCATGCCTCCATGCAAAAGGATCATGAGAGCAATCTCAATCAGCTGTCTGCAGAAGCACAATTAACAATCTCATTTGGAAAGAGTATTGTGTGACATTTAGCTGGCCAGTGCACACTTAGCTGTGTTGCACACATTGACCTTGGCTTTGAAAAGGTGCTGGTAAAGCAGTAAAGGTATTGGTAAGCTGTGAGTTCCTCACTGGGAGGATCAACCTCAGTGATAGCCATTCAAGAACTGAAGAGAGTTTGGGATCTACAAGAAGGAATCTGTTTGTTTCCTTCTTTGTTGTGTGCCATAAGGATATAAGATGATTTTCTTTTCCTCTCAATATGTTTTGTGCGTGAAATATCAAAAGTAGTTTTCTCCCCAGCAAGAATTCAAACTAATACTAACAAATGAATCTGAAATCAGATTGGTTCACAGAGAGGCCTCAGATAAACTGCATTAATTTGCTATTGCTGCAGTTCGTGCAGATGTGCTTTGCCTTAACTGCTGTAACAAATGATCCAAGTATAGCCTCCTGAATATGGTTAAGGGGTATGTAGCTCATAATAAATGGAAAATGATCTGAAGGTTATTTTATGCACCTTCATGAAATTTTAATTAGAAGAACACATGAAATTTCACATGTTCTGAGTTATCTTGGTATAATCAAGAGGCAGATGTCACCTTAAAGAAATGTTCTTACCATGCTATCTGCAAATCAAATATAGAAATCTTATGCTAGTAGTGTGATGGTACTGAGAAACAGCAGTTGACTGGAAACTGTCTGTAAACAAAATGTACTTCAGTCTGTCCTTAAATGCTCAGCTGAGAGCAGCCATAAGTAAATAAAATCAAGTTTGACTTCTTCCTTTCAAGAACTAATCCAAAAGTTGTTCTGCCTTACGTTGTTTTCTTTTGCGCCAGAGATGAGAAGTCAACTAGCAGTGGCCACATCATCTTGCTTTGTACTGTTGTATCTGTGCTCGCCTGAAGTGCACTCTTCTACTATAGTAACGTTTTGATATAGTGGAAAAACTGCATATCACAGGGGCTACAGCTTGCTCATTTTTCTGCTGTTGGAAGAGAACACACAAAGACAACTTCTCTCAAGCAGAGTTCCAAAAGCTTTTTTTTCCCCTTGGTTCTCCACCTTTAAAGTACAGCAAAAAAATTTTCTTTTCATCACTCCAAATTGAGTGGGTACAGAATTAACTCCCTGCGTGGAGAAAAATCTGTCTCTTGTGTTGGAGAAATGGCCCTATAGGTCTTCGTGCTGTCACAGCTCAGAAGAATAAAAGCTGCTTTATGGAATATGTAACTAATCTGGACATCTGTGAACTTACATTGCAGCAAATGACAGCTATAGTGAGGACACAGCTCAGGGGCCTGTCCACCAGGGTCTTCTGTCTGAACTTCTGTTTGAATCTAGTCTGTGATGTTAATGGTGCTCAGAGCTCTTTGGCATTAAGCTGCTCTCCATTCTTGAGAGCTGTGATTCATCAGTGTCAGCAGGTGTGAATCTACGAGCACTGCCAGACTTACAGCAGGTGCAAACCTGCACTGTATATTTTTGTTATTTTTCTTACAAATTGGAGACTTCGGGAGGGCAAGCATGTCCTGTTGGCCTCATATCAAGCCAAACATGAAGGCATTCACCCCTGAGTACATGGTGGTACATAGAAGTCCTTTCAGATGCAACTCACCAACTCATCTCTGGTGTTTGGGTGGCAGCATAGGGACATAATGTGAGAGACTGCTCTGCGTAAGTAGTCATCCTCCATTTGATGTCTTAGTTTCCTGCAACACGTGTCAAGTTACCCACTTGCTGAGAGCCTGGATGTAGTTTCCTCTGTATTTTTCCAGCCACACATTAGTTATAGCCTGAAGAGTTTGTGCAGCAAGGCTGTGTCCTACTTTATTTCTAATTTGTGAGACCTATCTGTCTGTGAAGGACTTGCTGCTTAGGAGCAGGTATGTTTTCAGTTCAGTTTTCTGTAGTGTATAAAAAGAGAGCGATTTTGAGGCAGCACATGGCTGATTTTCTGTTTTAATATACAAAATAAGTATTTTACATTGTCTTTTTAAATGGTGAGAAAAATCATTCCCAGGCCTCGCTCCTGTAGAAGATGCTTCTAGATCATCAAGTTCTAAATTCTGCAAAGAGGAAAAACATCTCTCTTCCACTAGCCTTAGCAGCTATTTTGTCAGCTTCCCCTTAAGTACTGACCAGATGCACTTGGATGTTTTCCTTTGGTCCTACTGTATATTTTCTGTCGAACCTTCATGGCTAACAGAGGCTTAATAAGATCTATAAAGTATGAGCAATGCTGTAGAGACAGGTATGGCAGTAACAGGCAAAAGATCGCAGTTGGGTCTCAGCCAGACTTGAAACAGGGTGCAGCTTCACAGAAACCAACTTTCCATGTTGATGAAGGCTTGATAACCAGTTCCTTGTTTTCCTTGCAGTGGATGGAAAGAAGGAAGTTTTTATGTGCTTCTGAGAACTCTATTCGTTGCTCCCAAGCCAGCTTGGAAATTCCTAGAAGAAACGAAAGGAAGGACATCTTGTCCCATTCTCCAGGTTAAAATGCCCTTTGAGAATCAGGAAAACACACAGCTTAGCCTCCTGCTGTGCATGTAGATCTGGAAGGAGTGGAGACTTGAAGCCACTGGTACAAATTTCACGAACTCAGTGAAGTTCCTTAATAACAGTAAATCCTAAATGTATTCTGAAGTGATCTTGCTGATCTGTTTTTTTTGTGGAAAAGATGCATTTTTCCTTGTGACCAAAGCTAGATGTCCCTTATGGGTGAGGTAACCTCTTCTGAGGATTGGTGATTCTCCGGAGACCTTTCAATCGACTGAGCAATTCCGTAATGAAGTCCTACAGTAAGAATTGTAGGAAGAAGGATGTTAATTCCGTTTCTCACTGGCCCAAAGAATACTGTGCCTTTTACATTATTCACATGTTTCTCTTCAGGAGCAGAAACCAGGATTTTGACATACGTTAAGCAAATGTATCTTCTAGCTTAGGAAATGAGACCTTCTGATGGCTGAACGGGATTTAAAAGCCCTTCTTCTTTCCTTCCCTGGCTCCCTCTGGAACAGCCATGTTTGCTTTTTTTTCTGCAGCAGCTAGCCTGCCTTCTTCCCAATGCCTGCTTGTTCCACCTTGAGATGACCTCAAGATGCTGTTGTCTCAGGTTCCCCTGCTTCCTGTTGCCACCATAACCTCCTGCCCACTTCTGCTGCCCTCCCAATGTAGGGCAAAGCATGCTTCCTTGCTGAACCTGTAAAGCTTCACGTTGGGGACTGCAAATCTCAGTGGATCAATGCCAGTTCTACACGGAAGTGGCTGGCAGAGAAGGGGGTGGAGCAGGACGCACATAAGATTAATGATAACCTGGAGTAGGGGTTGAGGACTGGCAGGCCAGGTAGTTGAGCAGTTAATGGACATAAACCCCACTGCTGACACAGCCAAGCACTACGGACCAAACTGGGTCATCTGGTTATTCCAAACAGAAATCTAAGCAACTATTTTGACTGCTTGATGTTCAGGTTATGCCTTCCACTCCAGCAATTAAAAGACTGTAAACAATATTAAATTATTTTATTTAACGTTCTACTAAAAATAAACACTCTCGGTTCACAGAAACCAGGAGTTTCTCACACTGCAAATTCTTTTTTATTGTCTGGCTCTTGATTTGTTTATTTGTAATTATTAGTGCTATAATGGATCATTGGTTGGACTAGATGATCTTAGAGTCTCTTCCAACCTTAATGATTCTGTGACTCTCTGTGATTAGTGCAAACTTTGCCTTCTCCGGGGCAAGTAACAGCACTGTAAAGACAGCACTGTAAAGGCATCTGCCTCACTTGCTGTTTGTCATTGTACAGCTAAATTGAAAGGCTGGATAAGGCATTTAGATTGATGAAAAACATCCGAGCATAATGTTCACATGCAGTGCATGTGACTGAATCAGGGACGGGGGACTCTGCTGCACACTGCAGAGTGTGGGGAAGTCAATTGCTGTCTGATGTGTGTGCCACGCAGCAGAACACTGGGCTCTGCTTGTTTGAATACCGTGACAGTGATGCTTCCTTAACTCCCCAACTCAAAATCGAGACATGTAAAGTTCAGGGGGGGAAAAAAGTGTGTGTAAAACTGACCTAAGAAGTCACTGCCCAACAATAGTCTGTATAAACAAACATGCACTCAGAGCACAGCATAATGTATGTGTGTCAGTGGTGCTTGACTCACCTCTGTTGGACTGGAGCACTCATGGAGGATTTCCTGAAAGCCAGAGAGACATCATTTTAATATTTCATAAGTTGACCCTTCCTTCCAGCTGTAAAAAGGATATAGAATCTTACTATTCTTGACTGGCTTCAAGACACAGGGAAGCAGCATACATTATAGTATGTACATTTTCTGCAACCCAAACACATTGCTGTATTGTATCACACCAGCAGTTCCTATATTGAAGTTACCAAGTTCCTCTGTCTGACCTGTAGTTTCAATTTCTGTTCTTCATTGGGGACTTCCAGGAGATCTTCAAGGTCAATTACTGGTCCAGGAACTTCTGCATCCGTTTTCTCTCTTAGCTAAAAAGAAGAAAATAAAAACCAGCATAGTTCATAACCCTCAAACTTTCAAGAACTCTAGAGACCATCTTTGAAGAAGTGAGCATCTGAAAAGGAACTAATTACAAGAGAACCATGCTGCAAAGCTGACGTCAAGACACAAATCATCTCAAAGTAAGGAGGTTCTTACCAAGAGGTGTCTTACCTGTGTGGTGTCTGCTACAGCCACACATCTTGATTCATCATCTGCTCCCACCTCAACACTTGATCCCTGCTCAGGGATCACGGTCTGTGATGGGAACACCTTTTCAAGAATATCCAATGTCAATTGCTAACTACAATGCAGTGTAATCCAGCTTGGGACAACCTAACTCTGAAAAGAGTGCGTGCAAATTGTTCATCAAACAGAAGCCCGTCAGGTTTAATCTTAAAGAGGTACTACAAATACAGGGAGATTTTAAGCTTTATGGCTGCATACATTCACATAGCTGGTATTTATACTATGGATTTTTGAAGAAATGAAGAAGCAAACAGCTATGCTTTTGAAAGGTGTAACTTACTATTTGTCAGCTTTCTCTATTAGGAATGGGAGGATAGAACATAGTTTTAATGTAAGAGAGACCCACAAGTTTTGGAGGTAGGAGTTACAGTTTCAGTACAAGTGAATGTTATTTGGGAACACTTGTAAACTTGGCCATAGGCACATTTTAGCTCCACATTCCCCCACAAGACTGTAATGCAGGCTGCATTTTGCAATGTAGTTGCAAAATGAACCTTTAACAACATGACACTAGTGATACTTTATCACAGTACTCAGTAGAGTAAGTGCAGCACCTAATAGACAGGCATGTAAAACATTAAACAATAAACACAGTACTTATGGGGAAAAAAAAGAAACTGTTTCCCATCAGTCTTTGACACCATGCCAGAGAGGAAGCAGAAAAACAGTAGGAGCTCAGCTTTGTTACACACCTGACTTGATAACTAAGAATAAAACAGTTACACACACTGTACTGTGACCTATACAGCATTTCTTCATAAAAATAATAGTTTTCACATGACTATTTAGATAACAGGTGTTGATCTGGTCTGAGACTGTGGTTCTGCTTACAAGTGCTGGGAAAGGTCTTGAAAACCCAAATTGTCTCCCAGATCTTAGTTTTGTTGTGAAAAGCTTCATGGCAGTAAACAGCATAGCAATCAGATTATTTGTATCAGGAGATGATGTTGGATTTAATCTTGCTGGCAATTGACCCTCAGTGCCATTTACTCCAGCTGTCATGTGGGTTTCTGGAAGACATGGAGAAACACTGCACTGCCGAGGGCAGGAGGAGCAAAGGGGGAAATGATGGGGAGCTGATGTAATGGAAGTCAATGGATCCAAAGAAGCCCAAGCTACCACAGCTAACTAAACCATCTTGCTGCAGTGCATGGAGCAGGGCAGGAGTACCTGCTGGACTTCTGGGTGCTTACAAGTCATTTATTGTTTATTTGAAAAGGTAATATGTAAACTTCTATTGTATGCTATTAACAATCTCTGATTAGGATCAGCATTGCATTATGTAGTTCCTGTCAGGAATGTCTTAGTTTGACCTGGTACACCAGGAAGTTGCTAAAACTGTGGTGTGGGAGTGGTGCTAGCAAAGGCAATCTATTTGCAATCAATTCCCATGTGGGCATGGCTGCATTTCCCACTTGTGCCTACTGGAAAAAAAAAATATCTCCTCTGTGGAGCTACTCTGGTAACAACAAACAACTCCCAGTTAGTCAACTCACAGAAAAACAGAAGTAATAAAGTAGCCTGAGTTGTTCTTCTGACATCTCTACAGATGTATATCTGTAGACTTAGACAAGTGAAAGTAATACACAGAGTCACATCTTGCATTATGTTACTGGTGATACCAAGAAATGCCTCACATCTATCTTAAAAAAGCCCTCTCTGAACTAATACTTTAAAACTACAGTCATTACCCAAAGGTCCTGTTGCTCAAAGCAGCAGCCACTCTCTTTGCTCATCTCTTCAGAACTACCATGTCCCTTTTGTTTGGTCCTTCAAGTTGTGAGCATCAGTAGGACTCTAAATTCTCCCTTTTTGTTGGTTTCATAAATGCAGACAAAATCAATGTATACATATTTTAAGATGGAAATGAGATTGTCTCCTATCTTCTCCTTCAGACATTACTTATCAGGAACATTTGTTTCTACTCAGAGCACAGTGGTATTTTGTGGTGGCTAGAACCACTTCCCCTTCTGGAACTTGGATAGATGAAATCTGCAGGTTCCCTCATAGCAGCCTTGAGGTGCTTGCATTTAACTTTACAATGGTGTTAAATGGAGAGATTCCAGTGAAACCAAATAAAATAAAAGCAGAGTTAGCATCATATTGAGTGACAGGATGAAACAGAGGAAATGGCTCTAGTCCTTTTAAAGCTACATAAACCTCCATGGTGAAAGCAGACATTTCTGACGCAAGAAGGCCGGAGGGAGCATGTTGCTAGACAGGTGCAGCCCAAGATGGCTACATACCTAAATTTCCAAGGAATGCAAGGTCTAACCTGCCTCCAAAGGGGCTCAGCACATACACTGGTCTGTCAAAATGTATATCCATCTCAGGCCAGCTCCCACTCTGAGAAGTGCTTCCAGAAACATCACTTATCCTACACCATTGAGGCACTGGACCTCGTTGCTCCCAAGTCTCCTGGTTATGCTCCCAACTCTTAGGTGCATAAGAATGATGTAGGACCGACAGCTGCTGGTGGTAACGAAAATGCAGGCCAGGAAGGCTGCTCTGGGGAGTTGTGTAATTTGAGCACGTGTTTTGTTTTTCTTCCCCTGCTGCCAGTAGCATGTCTAGCATCAGCAGCTGCAGATACTGTTTTATCCTCAGTGCCTCAGGATAAAGTCACAAAGTTATGGCCAAAGGATTGAAGGATGCACTGAGTACCTCAAACCCAGCTAGTTCAGGTACTGCTAGCAGCAAAACTGATAGCAAGGATCTATTTCCAGTAAGTTAAGCAAGCACACCTCTATCCCTGCATACAGCCTCTCATTTCATTCCCTCAATGAGCGAGGAGCTGGTTTGCCCCAGCTACTCACCGGGTACTGATACAGCTCCTGCAGCTGGGCATTGATCCACTCCTCCAGGTCTAGCCAACGCTGTAGGTCTTTGCGGTTGTACTTTATGGTTAGCTTGCCCAGTTTTCTGTGTGACGATTCTTCCCCAGGTTTCTCTGGAGTCTGGAAAGTCACCCGGGGCAATGTGCTGGAGTTGTTGGCCATCCTCACCACTTCCTCCTCTTTGTTCCTGGCTGCTCCCCTCCGTCTTGTAAGCAGTGTCTCCCCGCAGCTCCTGGCTCACAGCACAAGCCACTTGTGGATGTCGAAGGCAGGCAGCGTTGGCAATGCCAGGGAGCAGTGGCAGGTGCTGTAGGCAGGGTTACAAGAGCAGGCTCTTGGGTTTCACAGGATGCTGCTGATGAGCAGGAAGAGAAGGGAGATGGCTTGGTGTAATATCATCCGCTGTTAAAAAGTGAAGCAGGGAACCAATGAACAAAGGTTGTTAATATTTAACGTACGTCAGCTCCAAGAAGCAGCAGGAGGTGGGGAAGAGAAGGTTTTGAATTACTTTTCCTACAGATGCAACTGAAGTCTGTGTGCAAATCCAATGGGCTGATCCACTCTTTTACAAGGATGGGAGTGCTAGGTCAGTGGTGTTACCAGCCAAACTCAGAATCAGCACTCCCCATTTAACCTCTTCTGCAGTCTGTACATTTCTTCTAGCTTTCTGTAAAACTTCTGTCTAGAAAACCTGATGATCTGAATTTGAGGTCGTCTGAGCAAGGCATTTCAGCAATAAAACAAATTATCTGTGTTCTTATTAAAAAAAAGCTATACGTAGTGTGACAAAGTACTGCAGGTTAACGGATAAAGCATTATCTCCTTCTTGTAAAAAGGTAATTATAGATGGTAAATAGGTCCATCTGCTGAAGCACTGTAAACTGCTAGAGTGTTTATTACCATTGTTTGGTTTATAATCTCTTTCTTAATAGAAGAGGGGTTAAAGATCTGCAACATTATTGCCCTGTCTTATGTTAGGGGACATGGGCAGTGCAGTACAGAGGGGCAGAAATCAGACTGGACTTGTCTATGCACTGCCAGTTTCCCCCAGATGCTGTGTCACACCCTGTAACCACCCATCCCCAGAGCCCTCCTGTGACCTGCTGCAGGCGCTGCCCGGTCAAACGGCTGAACCTGAACTGAGACCTTCTGCTGTAAAGCACATCAGCAGTTCCAGTCCCATGGGCTGTGTGGGAAAAGAAGATATGCCAGTGCTGGCATCCTCTGGAAGTCATACCAGGTCCCCTTGTCACAACCAGGTAATTGTGCCCAGAGGGACAGTGGCAACTGGCCAACAGCAAGTCCTACATGGGCCAATAAGAAAATGGAGCACTCCAGCCCTTCTTTTTCCCTAAGTTTGAACAAAACCCAAAGATTTTCTTACAGAAAATTTTGCAAAATTCTGATTCTGAAGCATGCTTCAGCAGCATTACAGAGAAGGATAAAGTACACCTAAAAATGGTATCCTTGTTCCCTGCTTTGCAGACAGCCTAAAGCTTGTATTCAGGAGAGAGCTGACAGGTAATTAATTTACTAAGCTTTCCTCATTTTTCCTCACTACTTGACCAAAATCACCCAGAAAAAATCCATAACAAGAGAGGCTGGGATCATACTCCCCGAGGAGAGATTTTTAACATTCCAAAACCCCTCAAACATCTTCTGACATGTTTACAACTACTGACTTTCCAGAGGTTAATAGGCTGGCTGACCACATAGTAAATCTGAACCAAAGGATGCCAGGCATCAGTTGTCTACATACAGAAATGCTCTATCCTGGTGTTCAAAGACTGACATTTTCCCCTTATTCCTACTGCCCCAAATGCTGACAGATTTTTCTGAGGAAATGGCACTAAGATCAAGGAAAGTGGTCAACCCAAAATCTACTGCAGTTGAAGGTTCCAGCAGAAAGTTGTCCCCCTTCCCCCAATTCTGTGCAACAACCCTATTACTCTCCCACAACTCTAAATGGACTGAGCCAAATTTATGAAGCATGAGATGGATGTGGACAAGAGGGGAACACCCGGCCCTAATGCCTGCTGTGCAGTCAGCTGGGGCCACTGTTACTTGTAACCTCGCTCAAGTGCAAACTAAGGCTGAGATAAGGCATGTGAGAAGGCCACAGGCAATCTCACCCTGTTGCTTGCACTTTATCAACAAAGCAATAAGCATGGTGCCCTGGTGCCGCCTGGGTCAGCTACAGGGGAATGCCAGAGGCCTTTCAGGATAGCTGCAAGCCAAAGCAAGCAGCCTTGCAGGATGTTTGTTATGCCACTATGGATTATACGTGCTTACTCATGAACTCTTCGTTACGAGAAGCTGGAAATACAGAAATAAATGCTTACTGATTAAGTAGGGCTGCTCCAGCAATAAGGTAATTGAATCAACCATTAAATAAGAGGAAGAAGCTCAAAGACGATGTGTGAAAACACCCTGTGAAGGCGTGGTGCCAGTTCCAGTGCACAGCACCAGGTGTCCCATACAAAGCAGGCCAGAGCAGGTCCTCCATGGGTGCACAGCCACTTCTTGCACGCCTGCCCTAAGAAGGAATTTTTGCCTCCAAAAGGAGCAGAATGGGATTCAATTCTACAGAGGAAGGGCCTGTGTCAGGGAGAGCTGAGTGCTTGTACTGCTGTGCCAAACAGCCGCGACACCAGGGCACGAGAGCTCCGGTTACATTCCTCTTGCAGCTGATGACCTCCATCCACAGCTGAGACTGAAGATGGTGCTTCTCCTTCTCTGCAAGCTGATGGCTGTTATGCACCATCAATAATTCAGCAGGGCCCCGGCTCCTCTTTCTGGAGGAGCAGACTGGCCTCTTTTCCCTCTTTCCCTCGAGTCCCAGCCCAGAGATGACATTTTTCCTTCCGATCATCCAGGAGCCACTCTTCACCTCCTTTGAAAATAATCACTTTCCCTGTGGTTACAAACATGGTAGTTAACACAAATTAAGGCAGCAGAGGTGACTGTACCATCATGAGGTTGACACCACAAGGTAAGGACATGCTGCACCCTCTTGCAGGCATGGGCAGGCATAGGAATTACCCCCACCCCTCAATGCTTAGGTGAAGCTGACAGTTTGATTCCAAATGGATCATATTGGGATCTCTGAAAAATCTATCCGCGTTGTTTTGTTGCTCTACTTCTCATATTGCTCTGCTGTTCCCCTATAGAAGGAGACCCACAGCGCTGAAAGTGTGATTGGTGTTTTCATGCAAGCTCTTGAATAGTAGAGTTGGAGGCAAGAGAAGCAGTGGCTGAAAGATGAAGGGAATTCTTGCTTCCCAACCTGCTTACAGCATTTCAGGCTGTCCGTATAGTTCTCGCACCAAGAAGTGTGTCCTGACACAAGCTCCTCGAAGGGGGGCTAGGGACCTGCGGGAAATCTCCATCCCCGGACCTGAGGAATAGCGATCTCCAGAGGCACTGGCAGATGGCCTGTCTGCGGCTATCCAGGGGCTGTGGCTGCTGAAAGAGGGAAAGGAGGAGGAGAAGCCCTAGAGAACCGCACAGCCCAACAAGAACAGCTGAGGATGCCTTTGCGGACTTAAATGGAAGATGTTAAACTTCTACTTCCTGCCCAGGGGAGGCAATTTGCTTCACAAAAGGAGCCATTTCCATACCTATCTCCCTGTAAAAGCCTAGCACAGACATGGCAAGAATGCAGATGCTTTCTGGCGTAGCTAGTTTCAGTACAATTTCGCCTTCTTTTCCGAGCGCTCCTGCCCTTAACACCTTACCGTGACTAGCAACAGTAAAAGAAGAGCCAGAGTGCCGCACAGGACGCAGACAGGAACTTCCCCAAAAAAACAGCACACTCTCTTTGTGGTGCCCTTCCCACAGCTGCCCTTGAAGCGGTGGGAAAGGCTCTGCTGGGGACTCAGCAGCCTGTCATCCTTTCCCTGGTTGCATTCCGCAGGACGGGTTGTTAGTCACGGTCTGTGAGATCCCTCCCTGTCTCCTTCCCTTGACACATCTTTGTGCCGTCACTTGTATCCGGGTCTCGCCCGCAAACCACACCAGGAGGTTTAACCTGAGGCAAATACGACAAAACAAGCAAGCAAGCAAACCTGTCTCCCTAGCACTAGGTACACACGGAGCGGTTCCCAGATAAAGCCAAGCAGAGTGGAGCCATCTGCAGCAGCCTGCGTGCTGTCGGGAAGCCGCTGCAAGCCGCGGTGCCACTTGGCTGGGCGAAGTCTAGCAAGTCCTCCTTGTTTGTGTGCCTACCTGGATCTATGCCTCACAGCAGCCAGGTGCCCAGAGCTGCTGGGGTCCCCGCAGTGGTGACATCAAGGCTGGTGACGCAGGCTCCTGTGTGATTTGCTGCAAGCTGTGCATGTCGAAGAGCTGCAATGATCCTGGTCAAATATTAAGCCACTGTGTAGTTTAACCCCCCAGCTGAATAGTTATTATTGCAGGGCTAAGAGCAGGCGCTTCTTGCCCCATGAAAGACAAACAGTAACCATGACTCACTGTTTCACGACCCCTTTTAAAACACTCCCAAGCCATAAAATCACACAGCCTGCTTTCTCTTCACGCTAATATGAGTAACACACGGCTCAGCTGGAGTCACGGGGAATAATTCATTTGGCAGAAGATGAGGCCTGAGATAGGAGCCTTGGGCTGGGAGCAGGTCTTGAGTTGGAAGGAGTGATGCTGCAATGGAGAGAGGTTTCCAGCAAAAGTCCTTGGTCCTGGAGCTGACCTCACTTAGAACAGTCATTACTGAAGCTCTCCAGAAATTAAAAGAAAAAAGAAAAAAGAAAGAAGAAAACCAACCGAAAAAAACCCCACAACAGGTACATTCAGTAATGCTGCTGGCACTGAAGTGGAATGCATCACTCCTACAGTGAAGGACCAAGCCTGTGATGCTTAAAAGTCTAATGAACAAGCCATGTTCATCTGCCAAACAGAAGTGGTTCACGTTTTAATAATATAAAGAATATTGAAAGTAAAGTCACATTTTTAGGAAATTGTCACAAGAATTTTAGCTGGAGGCTGCTCAGCTGAAAATAACAGAGAGAACAAATCCATAAAAGCCATACTGTTCATAAGGTGTCTCTTCCTGTGTTTCCTAATCTAGGTGTTCCCACTCCAGCAGGGAGATTGGACTAGATGATTGTTTGAGATCCTTTCCAATCCCTGGCATTCTGTGATTCTGTGATTCAGTCAGCAATGCCCATATGGTCCTAAGATGTATTTAGCAATGGGTTTCCAGCAGAGAGAGAGATCCCTGGTGATCCATTCTTTAGCCTATGGTATGTTTTATTAAGCAACAAACTTAATAACTATACAATAACAACAAGGCCCTGCTTCTGGAAAATGCACAGGAAAAAAAAAAAGCAACTAAGATAACCGAGGTGAAATGCCATAAAAGAAGTGATTAAAAGCTTGTGGCAGGTTTGCACTAGCATAATGAAGGCTGTGTTAGGATATGATTTTACTGAGGAAAATAGGAAATAAGCTTTTGAAATTAAAGGACAGCAATGCAAAAACAATAATAATAATAATAATAATAATAATGTAAAGTCACATTGAAAACCTTTAGGGTGAGCACCGAAAAGCCTGCAATGGGAGACTGGTACAGCCTTCTAATGGGAGCAAAGGAGATTAAACCCCATTCCCCTTCAGGCTAGATCAGTTTAGGCTGAATCACTTTATGAAGGGGCTTACTCATTCCATACACACTGAAAAAAAGGAGGGGGGGCTGAGTGCCTCAGGCGGTGAAGAACAAAAGGAGACAATCCTGGCATTGTTTGTTTCCCCAGCACCACAGGGGCTGCAGGCAGAAGCAGGCAGCAGGAATTGAAGACTCTGGATGTGAGCAAGTTCCCCAGAACTCAAAGCCAGATCCTGCTCAAGGCACAGCCATGGCTCACCATCTCTGTTCCAATGTTTGCCATCAATACCACCTTGCATTTGCTGCTGCCATTGAAGTGATGCAATATTTCATTAAGAATAATGTCCTGGCAAATTGCAAGCACTCCCTGCACTCCTAAGCTCTGTGACACAGAGATAAGAAGAGTTTACCCAGGGGCTTTGGGTCTGTTTGCAGAGGAAGGGGGTGGCACCAATGTAGCTGAGGAACAAGGGAATTTGATCTCCACTCTACAGAAGCAGGAAGGTAGGGAATGCAATCCAGTTAGAGCAAGCAGCCTTTGCGTTCCTGTCTGTGACTGAACTATACAAGAGGAGTACTATGCCCCCAAAGATTGAAACAAATGATTTTGAGCAGGAAACCTCTGGCAGTGGGTGCAGGCTGTGAGACAGAGCTGGGGATTGACTCATTTGGGTCAGCGAAACTTGGGCTCTGTGCCACCCCTCAGTGATGCTGGGCTGTGAGAGCTACCACCAGAGGACATGGGCTTTCAGCACAGCAGGTCTGGGCTTTTGGCTGGCTGAAGCATGGCAAGGTGCTGGGTGCCCTTGCCCCTGTGCGAGTGTGAGGTTTTCAAACACACAGGGTTGCACTGGGTGCTCCCTGTGAGCCTTCACTCCCTTGCCAGCTGAGCTGGAGATGGTATCAGCCCGCTCTCCTCCCCTTCCTCTTACGCAATGCA